ATTACATCAATATTCATCGCATATCGAATTGTTACGATCGTTGTTACATTGTTTCAATCAGCAAATTATCCAACAAACACTAAGTAAAAATTATATAACTATTATTTGATATTTGCTAGGTATATTATAATGTACTGTGAACACTATGAGAATACATTATATAAGCTTAAATTGTAAGAATATCGTTGGAGTCATCAGAGTCACCGCGTGCGCGCTCCATCGTCAGGTTAAGCAACAGTTTAATGAAGTCAGGATATGGATGAATAGACCGGTGGGTAATACTGCTTTGGGATCAAAATTATCGCTGCAGAATTCACGAAAGTTTGGAGTGTATTTAACCTTCGATATGGATTATGAGACATGAGAAAACTAGAAATATATAAGTATATTTTTTTAAATATTATGATTTTCTCATTTTTTACTTTCGCACAATAATTTTCAGTATTTAGTTACTATCAATATTTAACAGTGATTTTATTATCAGTATTTACCAGAAATTAAGTACTGGCAAAAAAATTACTTAATTATTGGTAACACTTAATCACTAATAATTTTTCAATATTTCTTAGTATATTTCTGTAAGGGAAGAACCCAAGCAAATCCTGTAATGAGTGCGCTGGCCGAATCTGCTTCTAGTTTCCAGTGTTTATTTACCATCAGATTATGAAAGCAGAATTTGCCAATTAAACATGAGCTTAATATAATCACAGATAACTATGATTTTATTATGGAATCTTGGTAAAATGTGCTATGAAACTGTTAAATATTTTGCTTACTAGGTATGCAGATTTATTTATACTTTATGCTGCATAAAGCTCTATAACTGTTATAAGATTTTATACATTGCATAATACTAATAATTTACTCTTTTCCAACACGTTTCTTAAGTGGCTCAAATTACTACAAATATTCTGAAAAACATTGCTTTGTAAATATGCAGGGTAATTGCTTAGTAAGCATGTTGGAAATATTATGTAATTATGCATGTAACCTTAAAATATTAATCTAACCTTAAAATATTATAATCATATATTTCGTATAAAAAATATTTTTAGTAAAGATAACCCTTATAGAAATATCATACTAAGAATCACTGATTAATTATTTTTTTTCAGTATTAAAAGTACAGTATTTAGTAATATTCTATGATTCAAATACAGCTTTTAGTACTCAAGTATTTCAATATTTAATGTTACAAATCCTACCTTATGATTGATTTCAATACTTAAATATTGATATATAATACTTCGTTCAATGATAAAATACTTACGCAGAACATTGTCAATATTTAAATACTAATATATAATACTTTGCTAAGTGATGAAATACTTACGCAAAGTACTGTTAAGATTAAAAGTATTAACCCAGACAGCATACAATATTAGTAAGATATTAGATAAATATTTATAAA